AATATGGTGACTCCAGGCTACGTGCGAAGTGGGTAGTCGTCCTAGGATTAGTCGGCTAACATAACAGGTCGGATATAAAAAAAACGAAACTATAAATTAAAAAAAATATGCCTTGTATTATGCCGCCATATCATCAATTCAAAAAGAACAAAAATCAAAACTAAAACCGCAAGAAACCATAACATCGCATCCAAACCATCGCCCATCAAAACTGAAACTGCAATAAACTATTGCCGATTCCCACCCCTGGTCTCTCTCTTTCTCTTCCCGTTGCCCGCGTCGTTCATCCTGTCGTCGAATCAGTCATCTTCTTTTCTCAAAAGGCATGCTATTCCACAAATCTCTAGTCTTCTTCGGTATGGGCATCACAACACCGCAGTCTATTGATTAGGTTTAAAACTTGATATTAAACGTTGGTTCATTAAAATAAAAATCATGTCAAAGTCTGTTCCGTTTCGATACAATTTTTCCCTATTATATATCATAAATACTAAGAAATTATTATTTTCCTTTTCGATACAACGTTGAAGTTAGATGTAATTTTTTTAGAGATTTTTATTTTTGATTATTTATTTTGAGGAAAATTTTGAGAATCTGTTCTTAGATGATAAATTAATTGAATATTTTAATAATATCATCAAACATCAATGCTGAAAACTATTTATACCAAAAATTACTTTGTAAAAATAACTTGACGTCGTTGTGGAGCTTTAACAACTAAAAATTGTATTCTTCAATAAACACACGCCACTTATAAGAAAGCAAATAAAACACAAGAATTTGGTAACGCGGAAAATCTCTATCGAGGGTAAAAACCGCAGACAACGTTGAAGATCGTCGATGCACTAGTAACGTCAAACAGGGACTTCGTCCTTTGTTGTGACAACGATCGTAAGTACAATGATTACAATATGATTGTAATTAAAGAAATCGTGAGTGTGCTTGAAAGCTCCGAAAACGATTCGAGTGAATTCGCTTGTATGTTCCATAGGTTGCTTGTATTTTTCTTTGGAATGAGCTTTGTTTATACATGAGTTGTCTTCATCAATATGTCTTTATGAGTTTTAATGTCAACAACAGTTATGTTTGTTAACCTTAAATGCGAGAAGACTTGCATTAAACATTATAAAACGTTGTTTGTCGAGGGTTAATAGCGATAGATGTCGTTAGAAACATACGATCGTCGTTGGTTAGTGGCAACCAACAATACGAGTATCTTTAGTTGTTAAGAATATCATACGATTGTCATAAAAAATGACGATCGTTAGTTTCAAGTTCTTTGGTCGTTAGTTCCTATCTACAATATATACCTGGTCGTAAGTTTCTTACATTAGTCGTGAGTTTGGTAATTTTTAACCAAAATAGGATCTTTAATAGAAAAGTTATTGGAGTTAAATATAAGGGGTCGTTTACTAAACCTTTTATTCGGGTAAGTGAACACTAAGTCATATTACCTTACCGAATGAATATGGTAAGGACAAAGAGTCTTACCCGGTAAGTGGAGGTGATAACTCTTACCACAGTAAGCACTTACCGGGTAAATTTTGGCATACGATATCATTTTCGTGGACTAAAATCTTACCCGATTAATAAATGATAGTGTTAAATTTTACCGCTAAACACTTACCGGGTACGTATTTAGTAAACGGCCCCTAAATGTAATTCTTTCTACATTTTTCTATGTATATTTGACTAAATTTTGATGTAAAATGAAAGTTGACAACAAGTTGGGGGACCAGTTTTGTACTTTTCTAAAAATTAGGTGATTAGGCTGTGGCTTAATCGCTAGCAGTAACTGTTTAACTTCAAATAAATAAGTAAATTAATTAATTAAAAAAAGGATAAAAGGCATGGTTTACGAAGGGTGGGCACCGCTGCTTGGCAACGACCAAACCACCACCGTTTTCCGTTTTCCGTTTTCCAGCCGAGCTTCTTTCAAGATGACCACCACCGTCGCCGCCGCTTCTTCTCGTCCTCGTCGCTCCGTCTTCCTTGGTATTGACGTTGGCACTGGTAGCGCTCGAGCAGGTCTCCTCTCTCTCTCTCTCTCTCTAACACACGCTTCTTTTGACTAGACGATTATGCAGAATATGCGGTGGTATTCTGGTGGCTTACTACTGTTGGTAATTATTTGACTTTTTGTATAAAATAGGAAGGAATTACATTTGAAGTCAACTAAGTTTTGGTGTCAAAATTTGATACGAATTCTTAGGATTTTGCGGGAAAATTTGATAGCTGAGTTGATGTCTTGTAGTAAGTGTTGTGAATGGAGACTGGCGATGTTGAATTTATGACAAAATTTGATATTAGTTTTCTTTTGAATACCTAGTTCTTGTTTTGAAAGGGAGTAGTATGAACTGAGTAAATAAGTTTGTGAGGCAGGTAGCCTGGTTTTTCTATGAAACTGTCACTATGTTCAGACTTTGAAGGGAGTTTCTGCAGGAGTGTTTATATTTACATCAAAGATGTTCTTTTGTCCTTAATTGCTGAAATAATGATATTAAAATTTGTTTGAATAGGGTTTCACTCCAGACAAATGAATGACAGGAGGGGAAAGTGATGAGAGATATGATAAGTACTCGGTATTGGTTGCTCAAATTGTGACGCCATATACCCTCCATGTTATTGAAAGATATACAATTTGGTTATGGATCTTGAAGTGGAGTGTAGCACCACCAGAACAACCAATTGCACTAAAATCTATTGTAGAAGGACTACTTAAGAGGTTGATGGCATCAATAAAGTGGACTATTCATGTATATTTATGTATATTCATCATGAGTAGTTGGTCCTAATGGTTCTCAAAATATTTATGGTTTTTAAATGAACTTTCCCTGTATATATATGTGTGTATATATATATATATATATATAGGGAGAGAGAGAGAGAGAGAGTTAGGATCATTTTTGATAAATTTTCATTTTCGTAAGAAGGTGAGAAAATGATGAAAATACATTTATATCATGTGAAGGATTGTTGTGAGAGATCTGAAGGCACCCTTATATTGTGTGAATGTTAAATACAATCTAAGGGGCTGTTTCTTTCAATAGACAGTTGAAGATCATCTTGAGATTGTAGCCTTCTTACAATATAAAAGTACCTTCACATTTTCTCACATTTTCATGAAAAGGGGTTGTTCTCACCGCAACCCAACCTCTATCTACATCAGGAGAGTACTTGATGCATAGAATACATAAAGGTGGATGGGAGAGAGTCCAGCAGGAAACTCAATAGCCGATTAGCCGTTGAGTTATAAAACTGTAAAATCAAGTGAACCAGATAGTTTTGGGTTCTGCTTTCCTATGCAACACCTGTGTGTGTATATGTATGTGTAGATAAATATGTGTACATATATGTATGTATGTACATACATAACTGAAATACTAGGAATATGCTTGTCTCTTGCAGTGGTCACAGAATTCAGCAAATATTGAAGCCTCAAACTGATACACCAACAACTGAAATTCTGAAATTTGCTCCTTCAGTTTGCTGCTTTTTCTTAATCATTTCTCGGCTCCATTTCCCTGAGTCCTATTGTATATCTCCCAAATGGAAAATGGGCCAACTATGTGAAAACAGAGAGTGCAAGAAAATGGCCAAGAATGAATGGAACATTGAGTTTAGAGGATTAGAGACATCGACGAGTGTTATAGTGTTCCAAGAATGATATGAAGTTATTCGTTATAAATTGTTTGATGATTAGCCAAATGCCTTGAATATTATTGATCAATGACTAAGGGGATATTAAGGGCCAAAATCTATAGCATTGATACAATGAGTAGAGAACTACTTTTAACTTTGAAATTTGCTGAAAAAGGAATTGTTGCATTTTCCATAGGACATTTCAAACCGGAGATTGTTGCAAATTTTTATTTGGGGGGGGTATATAAACTATTCTTTCCATTATGGTCTTTTAGTTTGCATAGGGATTAGAAAGGCAGGAGCTCTGTGTTTTCCATCTAAAAAAGATCTTGATGATCCACTTGAAATACTATGGTGGAAAGTTATACTATAATTCTCATAAATCTATATTTTCTTTTGTTCATTCTCTTTAAGCTCACTGGATTTGGTTATCTTTTTTTGGCATTGCTTGATGTGATTTTATCATTTTCCGGTTTAGCATGTGCATGTACATTAACTTTAATAAAAGCAAGAGAGAAAGGTTTCCTGTACAGCCTACCATAGCAATCTTCTGTGTTTTACATTCTGCCTCTGCTTGTGCAACTGTTATGTGCATAAATCAAGTACATCTGTATTAAATGTATGCTAGTCATAGACAACTGCTGTACAGTGTTACAATTTGCCAAGACATCCCCCTGGCTCAGAAAACTGTTATTTATATATCCTGTTATTCTGTATTACCTTTAAGTCAGTTGCTAGATTCTATTTAGTCATACACTGTTCTAGGAGAATATAATTGTAAACTTTGTATTTGCATCTTAAAATTCTAATAATCGATTGTGGTTTCATTTTACTTTCATCGAGCCTTTTTTTGGTATTATCAAGAGATAACCTTTGTCTGGCAGCCTGAAATTTATTTAGTCTGAAACTTTTTGTTTAATTTTTGAAGAAATAATTGTGAAATTTGGTATTCCCTCCCTCCCAAAAAATGCAATATTTGACTTGGCACATAGTTTCTTGACTATTGACCAAATGTTTAAAATACTTCTTTGTATCGGAAAAATAAAGTAAAAACTTGTGGACCAACAATCAAAGTTATTAATTTCAAATAATTGTTACTAATGGGAAAGACTAAAATAGGATGGAGAACTCACCAAAAAGGATATGTTGAATTCTTTTTTGCGACTGAGGGAGTATTTTATTTCTGGCACATGCAGAAGAACACCATACCTTTGTTACATATTGCAGTTTTTATAATTTACTGGGGTGTTGCAGGCCTCTTTGATGAGCCTGGAAAACTTCTGGGGTCTGCTAGCAGTCCGATACAAATTTGGAAACAAGGCGACTGTGTTGAGGTAACAAATAATAGTTTCTGTAGTAGTAATTGGGACCATGAAAATACCATGCTTAGATGTTTACAAAATAATATCTAAGGTTATAATGCTGAAAAACAATTAATAATTCAGCAGAAGGCAACATTTTGATAATAAGACACCAGCATTTTCTTTTTGGTGCTCTCTATTGTTTATGGTATTTGGAATTGGAATTTTTGGTTTGACATGCCATTCTATATTACATCATTTTTCCCGCAATGGTACCTTCAAATAAGAATTCTACCTTAGGTTCACATGTTACCCTGACAATTGAGAATGCCAAATAAACTTGTTGAAATTGTTATATGTGGTTTAGCTTTGGTTGTTGACTTATGTAGAAGCATTCAGCTGATAGCATATGGCAAAGTAAGAAATGGTTTGTCAAGCAAAAAAAAGATACACGATCTCAAATGTTTGGATATCCCTGTATTCATACATGGTATTTATTCTTCTCTGGAATTTCTGCAAGTCCAGCAATCTTCAACTGATATTTGGCTTGCTATCTGCACTGCTGTTAAAAGAGCTTTATCCCTTTCCAATGTTGCTGGTGAAGAAGTAACTGGAATTGGTTTTGCGGCTACATGTTCTCTTGGTTAGTTCACACCAATTATGTCAGCTGTGAAGCTAGTTACTCATCTGATCTGATTCTAATATCTGGCTTGATTACCTTATGCAGTTGCTGTGGACTCTGAAGGTCAACCTGTTTCAGTTTCTTGGAGTGGTGATACAAGAAGAAATGTAATAGTCTGGATGGACCATAGAGCCATAAAGCAAGCTGAAACAATAAATTCCTGCAATTCACCTGTGTTACAGTACTGTGGTGGTTCAATTTCTCCCGAGATGCAGCCACCTAAGGTATTTAAGTTGATGGTGCTACTTTTATGCTTCACCTTTTAAGTTAGTTTGAAATAAATATTTTCTCCATTATGCCTTATGTGCTAATTATCAGTTTGTACCTAACTGTATGCACCTGAGTGGAACATTTCGAATCATGCAGTTTCTCTTCTTTTATCTAAGAAATTTTGTATAATAGCAAGCAATTTATCTCATTCCTGCTATAAATGTTTCACAGTTTTGTTATCTGATCATTTATGTCTAGTTGACATATAGTACATGAGTTCTCTAATAACTTTTCTTCCCCACCTTTGTATCTAATTCTGCAATATTTTATTGACAATGAACTTTATTCCTGCTATTGTAGCTTTTGTGGGTCAAAGAGAATTTGCAAGAATCTTGGTCAATGACATTTAGGTGGATGGACTTGAGTGATTGGTTGTCATACAGGTGAACGATGAATCTTTTCTTGTGAATCCAACCTACCCCTCCTTTTCATTCACGTTGAGAAAGTATTCAATGTTTATTTTCTGGTTCTCCATAATATTTCTAGAGCCACAGGAGATGATACTCGCAGTATGTGCACAACAGTTTGCAAATGGACATATCTAGGTCATGCACACATGCAGCATGTTGATGAGAAAAGCTCTCGAGACATGGAAGCCTGTGGATGGGATGATGACTTTTGGGAAGAGATCGGTTTACGTGACCTTGTGGATGGGCATCATTCCAAAATTGGTATGTTTTATCATACCAAGTCCTTTGAAGTTGATGGGAGTTATCAAAACAACTATTTGACATGGGTTGCTTTTCAGAGGTAACTCTGGAAAAGTTAGAAATTAAGTAAATACTCTATTAGGACAAGCAAGCAAGTGGCCATTTGGTACACTACACTTCTCACTAATCAGATGGAGTTTTTTGATCTAGGTGGGTGATTTGGTTGCTTGAATCTCGTGGTAGACGTAGAATTAACAGTTATATGTTGACATTCTAAATTACTGAATGGAAGTTTTTGGTTGATGTTATTGATTTCCAGATGATCTTTTTTGCCCTGTTCAAGTGCTATTCCATCTTTTTTAAGCATATAAACGGCAAATTAAACTCACAGACACTTCTCACCTTTGGTGAGGTTTGAACCCTTGACCTCTAGGAAGGTTGTGTTTCCAAATACCACTAATGGCCCTTTGGTTGCTTTTCCATATTTCATATAAGACTACCAAGATGACTTAGTCTTGTTGCAAATTTGTGCGAATGCAGAAAATAGGATGCCACTATCGTTTGAAGTAATGAGTCTTTAAATATGAAAGAATATGAGGAGAGTGCATGTGTACTTGCTACTGCTACATATCTGTGAACTTGGTTGAATTTGTTTTTACCATGTTCAGTTCCTCATGTTGCTTTTATGTTTTACCTTTAACTTGCACTCTGTGTTTCAATTGTTTACCTTTATTATTTGATATAGTTATGGAACATATATTGAGCAACTACTATATATTGCTCTAATATGTGCCAATTTATCAAAAAATTTGATTGTTACTTCTTTAAATCTGTTGTTCTTCTTTGATTAGTTTCTTGCCTGCATTGAACAACTCATTTTAACTTTTGACATGCAGGAAGAAGTGTAGCTTTCCCTGGTCATCCTCTGGGCTGTGGTCTGACTCCTGATGCTGCGAAGGCAAGAAATTTTGTAATGGAGAATTCACATTGATTTCAAGTGGCGTGCCATTGAGGTTCATTAATTAAGCCAACAATCTTTTAGTTGGGAATTGGGAGAATATGGACGTTCTGATTTTGACGTCTAAGGGCTTTTAATGATTATATAGATGATTTTCCACTCCTACAATCTACTTCGTTAATTATACTCAGGAGTAGATTAAAATTTTCAGGAATTGGGTCTCCTAACTGGGACTCCAGTTGGAACTTCACTGATTGATGCTCATGCTGGTGGTGTTGGAGTGATGGAAAGTGTGCCTGACTCTGAAGGTAAAGGTCCATTGTGTCCTCGTTGTACCTTATTTTTTTCCTGCTGTTAATGCAATACAATTATTGTGTTGTCCTGATTAGAAAATTTGTTCTCAGAATCTGATGACGACGCCATATGTCGGCGTATGGTGCTGGTGTGTGGAACTTCCACTTGTCATATGGCTGTCTCAAAGAGCAAATTGTTTATTCCCGGTGTCTGGGGGCCATTTTGGTCAGGTACACTTTGGCTCTTGACTGTTATCATGTTAAAAATGTGTAAACCATCATTATATCTACACCAAACCAATTGAATCCGGTATATCCTACCCGGAGGTGGGGTCTGGGGAGGGTAACTGGTAAGCTGACCTGGCCTCTACCCCCAAAGAGTTTGGTGGCTATTTCCTTGAAGACCTCCTGCTACCATCATTCTATCAGCTAATTGCATTAATCCTATTATTTTGTTTTTCTTAAAATTGCATTTGGTTTGTTTGGATTAGAGAGTTGCTCAATAATTGGTACAATTAGGTAACTATGAGGAGAAAACACTAGATCAGTAGTTAGTTTATTGGACTCTAATTGGATGACAGGAAGAGATGCATCCTTTCTTCTAGTTGATGAAGTTGGTTGTGCAGATCAATATCTCATCCCAGCATTGCTGAATGTGTGTTCTCTCTCGTCTCTCCCCTCTCTTAATATGTCCCTCCAATCTAGTTCCTTCTATTCTAGTATTCATATCGTCTCTCCCTATTTCTTTTACTGAGAATGCATTCCTTTTGTGTTCCAAGAGTTCCATTGCTCAGTGGCGAATAAACTCAAACCGTGCTGTTGCAGTCGACATTAGTTTGGCCTCCATCAATATGGTAAGACTTAGGAAGATTTTGAACTTGCTATTTCTATAGTAAACAAGTGCTACAACTCAATAGGGAGAGCTAGTCTAATTAGTGGTGGAATGGTGGATCCTGGTAGTTGTTTAATTCTAATTAGTTACATTACATATTTGCGGATCTTCTTCTTGACACATTAATAACTATACTCCATGAGCACATAGCCGCTTAAAGGAATCTTTAAGCTAGGGACAGGAAGGATCATGAGACATCCTAATTCCTAAACATCTGTTCCATATATGTCTTTCATTTATTGCCTAAATAATTGGTGCTGCAGAATAATACAACATATATCGTTTTCCAGACATAATATCTAAAAGCTTTAGAGGTGCAGGAAGAATAATATTTTCTGCTGTATATTGGGTTACAACATAAGGGAATATATATACAAGTAGGGAGAATGAGATAAAATACAACTCCTAATAATATGGGATAAAGACTGATCTATAGAAGCTTTCTTATCAGAGTCTATCTACAACTATCAACTAATCCATATCCACAGATTATTCTACAGTATCGCATTTCTGTGCATGGTACCATGATCTCATGTCTATTTTAACTGCCAGTAACCATGTCATGTCTTGCTGTAAACATTAGAATCAACTTACAAGTATACCTTTTCTGCTTGTCCTTCTGTGCTTCTTTTTCCCCTTGTAAAGTTTTATTCATATTTTCTCTTTGTTTTGAATATGTCTAGCTATGGTTCCTGAGTATTGGCTCACTGAAGGTGGTCAGAGTGCAACTGGTGCACTATTGGATTATATAGTTGATAATCATGTCGCCTCTTCACATCTTGCAGATCGTGCTGCTTCCCAAAGTAAGAGTTGTACATCGATTGAATTTTTGAAAATTGTGATGTTACTTGCAACTTATTCTGAAGGCTTTCTACTCTTGTTGACTATCCTGGAGAAGGAACAAAGCTTTTGCATGATCCTTCAGCATGGCTTGTTATTTGGACTTGTTCAACATCATCGTATAGATAAATTTGACCTTGATGTTTTAATCACAAAATTCATGTCATTACCAACTAAGTCCTAGCAGACCTTTGTTTAGCACTTGCAGTTTATGATTTGGAGTCTGTCTTGGGAAAGTTGTACTTTGTTATTAGAGTTGAATCTGCATTCGTTACAGAGCTAAACCTGAACAGACTGATGCTTGATCTTCTGTCTCTTGTATAATGTCCATCTCCCCTAGTTTGGATATCCTCAAGAAAAGTGTGCATTGCAATGTGCCGTTTTACCAAATTAGCAGTTTCATGTATATGCTTATACCATGAGAAGCCAAGTCAAAGGGATCAGAACATCTTTTACTGCAAACAAGACGACCTCACATGATTTGGCAGTTGTTTACAATCTTGTTATGTAAATAGTCAACTCATAATTGAAAATCATTTGTAAGATTTCATCATCATTTTGTTTTCAAGTATCTGCTAAGATTATGTCTCTGTTTTGCCTAGCAGCACGACACATGTATTGCTCTCCCAGAACCTTGTTTTCACAGTTTAGGCGGACTAGGTTTGCTAGAACTTTGGGCCATTGCTAGACTTTTAATAACAAAATAAAATTGAGTGATGCTCATTAGTTGGCAAAAATTGATGATCACGAGAAAGAAGTATCCAGGAAAGAATTCCGACTTGCAGTTGAGCGTCTTTTCAACTTATCAGAAATGAGAAGGTGTCATTTTAAAAGTTGGAGAAATCCTAAGGTGTCATATAAATTGGGACAAATCCAAAAGCCACAAGGCATTTTTAATTTGAAAGGGGGGAGCATTTGCCTTTTATTCCGTACTTGTTATCTTTTTCCTTAGAAATGCTATGCTGGTTCTAAATTCATGTATATCTTCTAGATATTTCTCTGTTTCAAATGTTGAACAAGCTACTAGAACAAATGATGCATGACATGGACACTCCATTTATCGCTGCTTTAACAGCTGATCTACATATCCTTCCTGATTTCCATGGTAACAGGTAAAATGCCGTATTAACACATATGTATATCTCTAGTCAAGTCAGCTAAAGTTTAACTCTTTGCTTTAGGTCTCCCATTGCAGACCCAAAGGCGAAAGGAATGATATGCGGTTTAAATCTTGATTCAAATGAAAGACAGTTGGCTCTTCAATACTTTGCCACCGTACAGGGCCTTGCATATGGTACACGCCATATAATAGAGCATTGCAATGAGCATGGACATAAAGTAAGAGTACTTTTAGTATGTGTGTGTGTCAGTATACTCAGGAAAAATGTGTTGATTAGTTGAGACCAATTCATCGCAAGTCATGTAGGAAAAGTCTGAAAAACCAAACCAAAACAAAACAAACCCAACGGAAGGGCCTTTGGCCTAGTGGTAGTCCTTGGCCTCCTAGGAGGTCAGGGGTTCAAACCTCACCAAAGGTGAGGAGGGTGTATGAGTTTATTTGTTGCATTTGCCGTATATAAATATTATATACTTCAAAAAAAACAAAACAAACTAGTATTTCGCACTTGGAGGTGGGGTCTTTTTTTTTTGGGGGGGGTTGTACGCAGACCTGACTAGCGGCTGTTTCCATGAAGATCCGCGGCTTGTGCAAGGTGCGCCAAAAGTCAAAACTTGGACCTTATATCAAGCAGGAGAAACACCATTGGTCTGATCCACCATGGGAGGGAATAAGAAAGGTGTTCTCTTTCTACTTAGTGTTTGCAAAGCCTCACATACTCTAATGACCAAAGAAGTAAATTATTTTGGGTGAATGGCTTCTTCTAGACTAACCCCTCTATTCCCTTAGCTATTATTAACAATAGAGAAGGGCACTAACAATAGGAGTTCTTGGAGACGCAAGATTCGGTTAGCAGACTAGGGGTAGGAATTTGGAGAGGTAGAGTATGGGGGCAATGTTAGTGAGCCGACAATAAGACCCCTTGAATCCCAGGTTAGACTAGGGGTGTATAGTCCTTCCTACCTTGGTTATGTTTTATTGTACATGCTTCTGTTTGTATGTTCTGTTTGTTTATTTGTTTGAATTTTGTTGCTTACTTCTAAATTATTTAGTACTGCCTTTCTTGTTTTCAAGTTCTTCATTTTTTAATGTTCTTTTTGAGCAAGCTTTACCCTTTTTTCTTGCACATGATGCACAAGCCAGGGGCTTCACAGAAACAAAGACTACTATTCGGGGTAGAGGTCAGGTTTGTGTACATTCACCCCCAGACCCCACCTCCGGGTGCAATATACCGAGCTTGGTTGGTTTGATTTGGTTTTAAGGGCAGTAATTTTGAATTGGAAATAATGGATGTAAACTTGTCAAAGCAATGCTAGCTATTTGTGCATGCTCGGCTGCCAAAAGTTGTTAAAGGCAAACATAACTTGTTGAAGAGTGGGATCTGTTGGCAATATGGTGCATAACAATGCTGTGATCTTTAATGGGTTTAGTTAGATAAAAACCAGTTATTAGGTTCAAGTGGCTGATGAACATTCACAATGTCTTTTGTTTCAAGAGTACATACTATTGCCAAAATTAAATTCCACGAGCAATGATTATCTATATGCCTTTTGTTGATGCTAGCCCTTGTTTCACTTGTGTGTGATGTATTCGTCCTATTGGGGAACCTTCTTTTGAGAACCCATGAAATAGTGATAAACTTGAGAACTAATGCATCATGTGCTATTTCATATGATTTTTTTTCATTGAAGACTAGGATTTAGAATATCGATTAACTTTTATTTGTTTCACAATGTGTTTGTTTCACAATGTGTTTGTTTCACAATGTGTTTGTTTCACTATGTGTGTGTTTCACGATGTGTTTGTTTCACATGTACTCGGTTCACAATGTGGACCTTTTTGGCGTGTTTGTGAAGCAAAAAATACATGTAAAAAAGTTTCACATTGTGAACCGAATACATAAGAAACAATCACATTCTGAAACAAATATATGTTAATCAATATACTAAATACTAACGTAGATGGAAAATAATCATGTTAAACAAAGCCTTAAGGTAAAAGTCATAATGGATCTCACAAATTTTGGAGTTCTCAAATGATTAAGCCCCTTCATCTATAATGCAGCAAGGACATTACTGTTTGACTTTGACAATTTTTTGTCCCAATGCCTACCTTTTTATGTTAAATAGTTGTATTTGTGATGTATAGTAGACTCTGTAAGTAGCAAAAGTTTTCTTGGGCCACCTGTTTGATTCTTTCTTTACATGCTCAATTAAACTCTCTTCTTTTGAGTAATCTGATCTGTATTTCAATATAGCCAGTTGTTTTGGGGCTTTGATTTGACAACTTTGACAGACTCGAGCTTCTCCCAAACCATTGCTCTCCAACCCAAAAATGATTGAATTTCGATGTCTTTTTGGACATCCAAATTGTTAAAGTGTTCCATTGATAGGAAGTTGTTGAAGTCGTTTGACTATATAGAGAGAAGAAAAACATCGAGGTCTAGGAAGCAGGATGCTTCTAACCCTTGTTGATTCCTTGTATTTGGTGCTTTTTGATGCACATGGGTGCAACTATATGACTGCATTCCAGATTACTATGGATATTGAATTGGGGATACAAGAGGGATGATTTTGGTCATTTAAAGCATAACTGGTAGATGCTTTACAAATCAAAAAATTAAATTTAATTCTAAACATTTGAAGAGAAGTTTATGTCTTATACCTTTGAGATGAAGGACAAGAGGTGAAATAACCAATACTTTTTATAGGATAGCTTAGATTATCATGGGAACACAGTAAAAGTTGACAAGGCTTAGGCTTAATAATGTGCTTATGTTATAATACCATATACGGTGTTATATGCAATGTATATTACTTCAGTCAAACACATTAATATTAATTACCTTTTGTTTTCATAATACATACTACCTCCATTTAGAGTTCACTTTTGATTCTTAAATATTTAATATATAGGGGAAAGTGCATTTAGAAACCGTAAATATTATGAGAACCATGAGAACCAACTATTCATGAATTATTCATGATGAATATACCTAAATATTCATGAAGATTGTTCATCATGCTTTTTCAATTTTCATGATGATGTCATGAATATGTATCATGAATTCACGATATTCATCATGAATAGTTGGTTCTCAAAATATTTAGGGTTTTCAAATCAACTTGCAGTTAATATATGAATATGGATATATTTCTTTGTTTTAACTTGCATCGTATATTAAACCTGGAACTTTCAACTATCCCTTTTGCACGTGTTTTCAGATTGATACACTGTTCGCTTCTGGTGGACTTTCAAAGAATTCATTGTTCATTCAAGAGCATGCTGATATCATAGGTCTCTCTCTTTCTTTCTCTCTGATTCCCCCCCCCCCTTCCAAATGGACCAGTCATTACACAGTAGTCCATAATACCCAATTGTGACCCCGATCTCGCAGATATTTCGGACTATAACAGTTCCGATGAACAGTCACTCACTTTTGACAGTTATACGATTCCAGAAGATGATCTAGAATTGGGTCAATTAGGAAATGAAATTGAAGCTCAAAACATGTGTTCGAGTATACAATCAGGCTTCTTCATCGCAGCTTTTCATGAAATCAGAATTTTCTATATCCTTTTTCGACCTAGCCCAACTAGTTTGAACAAGCCTTGAGGGTCAACCGAACTGGCAAATAAAGGCTAGGATTTGGGGCTCCTCTCTATAGGTCGCTAGTCCGAGTCTCCTCAGGGCCACTTCTTGGCTCCAGGGGATTAGTCTAGATGTGCGCAAGCTGGCCCGGACACCCATGTTTACCAATAAAACTAGTTTTGAACGAAGATACCTCACTTTTTGGACCATAAGATGCCTCACCAAGACTGCATCAAAATCATAACTAATTTTTACATGATAACTGATCAAGTTTGCTGCACTTTCTGCATCGAGATTTTGGGAATATGAGTACATTTAAACAGAGTAGTCTGTTAAAACTGAAATCCTTATGACATGTCACTGATTAATGGTCATTCTAACCATATGTAGGTTAAATTTTGCTCTAGATGCATGCATTGTCAATTTATACATGAATATCATTTAACATTCAGATTCCAGTATGCATATCGACTAAATTAAGGTTTTCCCAACATATTATAAGGTTGCCGTATAATTCTTCCACGGGAAAATGAGTCAGTGCTATTAGGTGCTGCCATTCTTGGTGCTGTTGCTGCAAAAAAATATTCTAGCCTCAGAGAGGCCATGAAGGCACTGAATGCAGCCGGTCAGGTATGTAGTAGTGTCATCAGTCTGATGAATTTTTCTATGCAAGAAATTAACATTTTTCTTATATTGTTTTTTATTCTGCATAAGTGCGTAAAGAAATTGATGCAAAAGCAACGGATATAAATGGATGGAGTTTTTTGGTAATGCATCTTGCTTTAGTGAAAGCATTTCTCGCTCCTGAATTTCTTGGCTCCTTCAGGTTGCTAGCAATCAAAACTAGATTGCTGGGTAGTTGCACCCACATCCGTCCCTAACATGGATCATAAAATGGAAAAACTTGGTCATTGACAAATTATACAGACTTGATTATTGGACTGGATTTCTTGAGTTCAGATTCTTGTATGGATTAAGTTTACACAGGCGTTGCTCCTAGATACTTGAGTAATGCCCTTGGGATGATTTCTAATGGAGATTAAATCTTGATGATTCTTATAGACAAAACGTTATAACAATCTAACCTCTTCGATGAGTCCACCCACAATGAAACGAACAGGAGGAGAATTATAGGCCATGCCATGACAAATAAGCAATTAATTTACTCCCCTGGGCTCCACTTTGAATGCCATGTACTTGGAAAATAGGTTGGTCTAGGTCAAAACTCAAAACTTCCCTAGGACCTGGGGAGAAAACTGAACCCCTGCAGATATAGCCAGACCTGCCTGCTGGGCAAATAGTTTTCGACATTTTTAGTACAGTATGCTCTTTTTTTCTATAGGCCTACAAGCTGTTATGGCTGGTATATATCCATGTGTATGTATTTGGGGTTGGGTTGGGACATGGGAGGGTGTCCTTTGTGTATGATCCTTCTAGATATAAAAAAATGTTTGGCCATCCAGGGAGGGAAGTGTGTGCTAGTATTTATGCATATACCTATATACATGTAGGGCTGGGTTTTCGTGAGACCAGTCGTTTTTCGTAAGACCGTGAGACACACTGTGAAAGTTCGGATTCACACCATGAATGTTTGGTGTGTGCTTCTTGTGAAGTGTTGGTGTGTTTTTCATGTGACAGCTGTGAAGGTCCTGTGTTTTTCTATAAAGGTTCCGTGAGATCTAAAAAACGTATCCAAGTGCTCACAATGTGTCTCACTGGTCTCATGAAAATTGTCTTTGATCATAAGATCCCATGTCCATACAATTCATACACTCATACATATAGGCCATGATGCTATTATCAAGAGACAAAATGTAGAATAGGGTTGGGTTCCGCTGAGAATGAGAGTTGGGTGAGAAGCGTAAGAATTGGGTTCCGGTGAGAATGAGAGTTAGGTGAGAAGCATAAGAAGGGATTTCCACCTTCGGATGCACATTAGGATGAGATGCACTAGATCAATTCCCGTATCAAGCGCGATTTATGGGTGGGTTTGAGATTAATGGTGCTCAATAGTCCAGATCCCTTCTTACGCTTCTCACTTTAACTTTTCTTCTCACACGATCCTTTGCCATGTATAATGGTATTTATTTAGACACGAAGTATGTTCATATCTGGGGAGGAAGTTGTGTGATTGTGTAAAAGAAGGCCATCCTAGTGCATGCAGACGCTTTTTTAAAGTATATAATATTTATATATGGCAAATGAACTCATACACCCTCCTTGGAGGCTAGGCTCTACTGGTAACCGTTACCGCTAAGCCGGTGCATGCAGATTTTGGGGAGGAAAGTAATTTCTATCAGAATATTTTCCTCCAGTTTTCTAATAGGTTTCTTGTGAATTGGACTCTTGTCTACAATTTGTACTCCTATTTCTTTTTATAGTTGCCGACTATTTACTAGTCTTTATTCGTCTTACTTTTTTGCTTGCATTTTTAAGTCGGGGGTTTTACGGTATCAGCTGCTCTACCCTTTGGGATAGAGGACATGTCTTCACACCCCCCATACTCTAGTTCTGAATGAGATACATATTAGGTTCGTTTGGTTTGTTCTTTTTTATGGAAACATTTAAGCTAAACTTACCTATTTGTCTATACGAGTTAGGACCATGTGAGAAATTCACTTTTGTGAGAAGGTGAAAACAAGTGTGAACGCCTTTATATTGTGTGAAGATTGCAACTCTCTCATCATGTTCAACTGTGTATTGGAAGGTTACATTATATTATGTGAATGTGGTAATCTTCACAAATTATAAATGTATCTTCACAGTTGTTACGGCAAACAATCACACAATATAAGGATACCTTCATGTTTTCTCACATTCTCATGAAAAGGGGTTGTTCTCACTGAAACCTGACCCTTGTCCATATAATCTTTAGAACACAACAATGATAATGATCTTGTTCCACGTAGTCGATCATGTTTCTTAAACTATGTGTCCAATCATACGTAAAGCATTGACTTAGCACACGAAAAGGCAAAAAACTTGAAAAGATTCAAATCGAGGGTATGTGACCGTTTCTTTTTCTTCCATATTTACAGATTATCTATCCATCGAAAGACCCGAGAGTGAAGAAGTACCATGATGCTAAATACCGCATTTTCCGGCAGCTTTACGAACAGCAACTCTCTCATCGTTCGATCATGGCTGAAGCATTGTCTTAGAGCTTCAGGTTTCTTTGTTAATGGTTTTCATAGAACAAAAATTTGCAAAACTGGAAATGGTTTTCAATTACAATTTCTGCTTTCTGTACATGTTGTAATCTGTGGAGATTTGGGAGGGAGTTTGCCAAATACTTATGTTTTCTATTTTGAAGTAAGTTCTAAAAAATATGTTTGAACAAAAAATTCCCAAATAGAGAACTAAAAAAAAGATTAATTATATTATTATTTATTATAATTAATGAAGAAATTATATTCCAACTCCAAAATCCAAATGCTTGTGGATTTCAACATTAATTATATTATTATTTATTATTCTAATACATGTTAAAGAGATCTTCAAAGAAACTAATAATATATTCAACCTCAGACGAAGAATCGTGTGAGAAAGAGAGTTAAGATAATAAACGTAATAAGGGATCTAGATCCTTAATCACCTTTAATCTTAAACCCACTTATGAATCATGCTTGATAGGGTCAGGTGCATCTCGGTGCATCTTATCTTGGTGTGCATCTAAGGGTGGAGATTCATTATTACGCTTCTCACTGTAACCCAATCCTTCAGCGTAAGAAGGGATCTGGATCCTTAATCAACTTTAATCTCAAACTCATCTATGAATCGCGCTTGATAGGGTCCAATGCATCTCGGTGCATCCCATCTTGGTTGTGCATCTAAGGGTGGAGATTTCTTCTTACGCTTCTCACTGTAACCCAATCTTTCAGCCTCATTGGTGGAAACGATTAAAAAAATATTTCCTTCTATTCAATATTGAGTTTTAGAGATTTGTCTAAATTTGTAGATTTATAATCTCTCTTGTTTCCTCTACTTCAGAGCAACTATTGGAGCTTAACGATCTTTAAAATCTCTAATTTTTTTTACTGTAAAGTAGTTGTTGAAGATGCTTATTCAATGTCAAGACTAATGATTTTGATTTTGATTTTTAGAATAAAACTTATCTGATTAAAAGAGTATTTGTAACAAAATAAATAAATAAAAGGAATATCGAAATTCTCGTTTTTTAATTCCTTACGGATAGAGATTGATATTAATATATTTTTGCCGTTCCATTGTTTCTTTTCATTTCAATATTCTCGTTACCTTTTAGAATTCGAAAAAAAATGCATTTCTTTTTAATTTTTTGCTATGGATTTAAACCAAAAAAATACTCTCAATATCAAACATGCAATATGAAACTCTCAATTTTCATCTACGATAATCAAGTTGTTATTTCTAAAAATGTTCAAACCTCACAAAAAGGTTCAAGAACTGATAATTGGGAAACTAAAGAAGATTTGGATGTGGTGTCAATGTGGATCCTTGCTCCTAGTGGCAAAAACCAAAAGAGATGAGCGTTACGGTTTCATGAGTGAAAGAATACTATGATCCAACTCGAGTAAAAGACGAATAAGAATATGATTTCGAGAATGAAAATCAAATGAAAGGTCGTTGAAAATGACTTAATGAAAATATAAACAAGTGGATTGTTGTTAGAAAGAAACATATCATCAAAAAATGAGTCGAATAAGTATGAAAGATGTTGAGAAAGAAGTTTATGCAATTTATGAGGCAGGTGAAAACAAGTTTAATGACTCTATTGTATATAAACAAAGTTATATGTAAACATCCCAAGTGAAAATTACAGTTAAATCGTGACACAACAGGTTCTCGTACAGGATATGAAGTGAGTAATGAAGAAAGACGGAAGCACATAAAGATCAAGAACTACATAAGAGTGAGATTCTTTCATCCACTACAACCAAAATAGCCAGCTCTTGGTGGTTCAACATTTTTGCATTCTACAGGTAGAAATGTGGCAAAGAAAAAAAGAAAAAAGCTAAGATATCATAATCTTCTTCGGTTCCTAGTAACTTTTCTGTAGAACTTCGTGCAATGAGAAGTATTAGAGATAGTGAAATTGAAGTCATGGGCAAAAAACTCGAGTTTGAGAAAGAAAACGAATAAAACAAGAAAATCGAGCATCACCACAAGAATCTGTGTATACGGTTGGCAAAAGAGCATTTGTCACCACAAGATATGTTTACAAATTACCTCTTCTCCGTGTACTTTTTCCATTTGTTTGTAACATGTTTTAATTTTTTTCAAATGCTTTATTTCGAGTTTGTTTTTATATTTAAATGAATGGTTATGATTGATTGTTTCGAAAGTGAGCTTATGTATTGTCTCTTTCATTCAATTTCACATCCTATCGTACCTCCAATGATTAAAATTTTCCTCGTATATTTGTTGTCTTTCGGCAAAACGTTATGCATACAACTTTCCTCGAACATCCCACTAAAAATTGTTTCTTTCAACCACAAGGGTGGTACCTGATTGGTTTGAGCTTGGCTGCAAAGGTCAAAAGCACCGGGAGGTCCCAGGTTCAAATCCAAAAAGGAATAAAAATCCCCTTGTGGCCACGGAGGTTCAAATGTGATGACTTCGGGGTATCTGCAAAACAGGTGGTCGTCCTGAGATTAGTCGGCTCGCATAGCAGGTTGGATGTCCAGTTTAATCAGAAAAAAAATTGTTTCCTTCACTAAAATGTTTCTCAATGAAAACTCGTCATCAGAATCAGTTGACAAATGTTGATCACAAGTTGTTCAACAAAACCAACAACTTGATCACATCATAGAATACATGTTCACAAACTCTTCTAATACATAGGAGATCACCCTTCTAGAGTAAGTAGGAAGTATTGTAATACGCAACATGAGATGGGTGAGGCGTATTCGATGGAAGACTATTTTTATCGACAATCCAACGTATGACCAACATACCTTTGACGAAGATTTCGAATGCAAAGACATATACGTCATCTTATAGTGGATGTTTATTATCGTAGAAATGTACTAGAGTCATGAAAGTTAGAGTCATGAAAGTGTTGGCATATGGGACATCAGTCGATGTAGTGGATGAATATTGGAGAATGGGTGGATCCACAACAAAAAAAAATTAAATTTTTATATAAAATTAAGGGGTTTTTTTGTTGGTTTTCAATTAAGTCTTGTATGGATAAAGTTGTCTGAATGTATTAATTTGTCTGTATAGATTTGAAAGATTTTTGTTTGGTAGAGCTTTTTCATAGATGAAAGGAACATTTTTTTAATCGGACGGAACATAGTTTGAAAAAGCGTCTGCTTTCAGCACAAAACTTTTCTAAAAGCTTACCGAATAAATTGTTTTCTATATCATTAACCACTACTAAACAATTATACATAAGTGACTGAAGAAACTGTGAGTCTCATTAAACTTATTAAGATGCTAAAAACATGTCTAAGGGACTGTTTGACAATTACTGAATGGTTTGGTGTAGAATGATTAAGTGGTCAGAATGATTAAGAAGCTCTCATGATATAATACAAAATGAAATATAATTGTTTGGTAATTGTGTACAATGAAATTAAAGCTCCTAATGGTTAAGGGAGATCCATGATACAAAATCATTCAAAGAGTTTTAGAACATTAAGAGGCAAACTTTTTTTTTTGCCAAACAAGATTCACCTCTTAACGATTCAGATGTTGCCTCTTAATAGAACTATTAAAAGGTAAACAAATAACCCTTAAGTTGAGAGTTGATTTAACGTTAAACATATGAGCATCTCCCAACAGATTCTCTATATTTTCTCTTGAATTGAAAACCAAAAGTCAAAATCTATGAAAATAATTACATTCAACTCTAACAGGTTCTCTATTTTATAGATTTCTATATTCATTATATTATTAATATCATCCCAATACATTTAAAAAGAATTTATATAAAATAAATAATACTTCAATCAGTGGCGGACCCAGGATTTTCGGTGAGCGGGTGCACAAACGAAAAGCTTAAGATAAATTTTTAAGTAAAAATACAATTTCATTAAAACGATAAAACAAGTTACCTTCTACAATTGTTCTCGACGAGACCTTGTCTTTTGAAAGCGGTTAAGTACATCATCATTCGTGACATTGCAAAGCCGCTTGATGTGTTTATAACTGAATCCCATCAATATATTTTTTAAGTTTTTTTTTTTCGGTTCAGTCCCTTCAGTTTCAAAATATTTTAGAACACTCTTCTATTTTTTAATTTTTTTTAACATAACTATTTTCAAAAAAAATTAAAGACCTGCTGCAGGTAAGGCTCAAACCTAAAATCCATTAACTCAGTGCTTTACCAAACTTACAGCTATCATCTCGTCTACCAAAAACTATCAGTATTAATTTGGTTTGCAAATATTTAAGAATACACTCGTAATTAAACGGGTACGTTGCTTTAACGTCTTGTTTTCTTTCTCTTGAGATGATCGAGTGAACAGGTGCATGGAACCCTGTTTTTTTCTTATTAACCTGTATATCTAACCCGCTATGCGAGCCGACTAATTCCAGGACGACCACCTGCTTTGCAGATAGCCGGAGTCCCTGCATTTGAACTTCCATGACCACAAGAGAATTTATATTCTTTCTTAGATTTGAACTTGAAACCTCTTGATACTTTTGATTTTTGAAGCCAACTTTAAACATATCAAGTACCACCACTATTTTTATTTTAAAAAAATTATTGAAAATGTTGTGATGTTTCGTACACGGCTGTCCCAAAGGGAAAAAAGGACACAACATTCTCGTTTTCAATGAGATTTGCCTGAGGATGACACGTGTCTGCACCAGGATCCGTAGTCAACTTATTCAGAAAACCACGCAACTGTTATCTACAAACAGTCAATCACAAACCCCAACTCTTTTCAAAATTTAGTCGACATTTAAACTGAATGGCTCTCCGGCTACCGCCGACTCCTTTCCCTCATTTCTCCGTCAAGCGCCGATCATCTTCCTTCCTTCCGTTTCCCAAGTTTTCCGTCCAGAATCTCTCTTCTGGCTCCAATACCGACAACTCACTCAAGGCAAGTTTACTGTTTTCTGTAATTGTTTGATATTCTGTTTGTTGATGCATTTGTGTTTCTGTTGTTTCAAGTGCTATCATTTTGGTTTGCTGATGTATTTGATTATGATTGTTGAGAATCCAAGTGGAAATTTCTGGTTTGATCGTTTTTCTTCTACGGAGGTGTGTGATTAGGTTATATTAGGATGATGCTCTATCTTGAAGTTTTGAAAGATAGGAATTCATATGTATGGATTCTCTAATTTTTAGACTTGGGAACTTGGGTACTATTTATGATGTGCAATCACATTGGTATCCGTCATAAAAATGCATCTTCTTCGTTGTAGCTAGGAGTTATTGGAAAATTTACTCTTTACTTGTGAAAAACATTATCAAGTGTTGTCAATGGTCGTAGAAACTAGCTGGTAAGTTAGATGACGATATAAAATGACATGTTGAAAAGTTAATTGAAAAAATTCTTTGGGGCATATTTGGGGGAAAGTAGGAAACAGTCCATGGGGCTTATTGAAAAGCCGGATTATAAGCTAGTTTGTGGCTTACCAAATGTGTTTGAGATATGATCATTTTTAGTTATAACAAAAGGGTCTTCTAGGAAGTTAATAGAAACAAGTAATAACTAAATCTTTCTCCTCTGTTTCTTCTCTTTCATGCTCTCTCTTTCTCATCCACAGAGTTGATTTTCTCTAATTATGCAGCTAGTAACGAAGGTGAAAGAGAAGCTTGAGAAAGATCATTTCAGTCTCCCTACAGGAAAAAATGGTAGAGATGATGAGGAGTTGATTCTCTGGTTTCTCAAGGACCGGCGGTTTTCAGTAGAAGAGGCTGTTTCCAAACTCACTAAAGCAATTGTAAGCAATTGTGTGTAAATCTTTGAGATATAGTCTTGCTTTGCCATTAACCTCGTGCCCTTTTTTGGTCTTTTTTTGTTATTGTCAGCATGAATCACATTAGTTTCTTGCTTGTGGGAAATAATCAATGACCAACTCCTTTACCCAATTTTTGGTATCTTTAGCCAGAATATATTTTATTCTCGAGTCTTGACTTAATTATAACTATTTAGTACTGCTTTTAGTTATAGCTTGTTATATTAATCAAGGATAGACAGTCATGGAGTATTTACTACAATTCATTATCTTCATACTTTTTGTTGTTCATTTGCCTATATGATATTTCTAGAAATGGCGAGAAGAATTTGGTGTGTCAAAACTTTCAGAAGAATCAGTGAGAAGAGCAGCTGCAACAGGAAAGTCCTATCTTCATGATTCACTTGATGTACATGGCAGGCCAGTATTAGTAGTAGTGCCATCAAAACATTTCCCAGAGGTAAAAAAGCATAACCTTAGTCATCTTGTTTCTCACACTACTTGATGTCCATGGCAAGCCAGTACTAGTAGTAGTTCCATCAAAAGAGCAGCTCTACTCTTTAGTGTAAAGGTCAAGTCTGCATACATCTTACTCCGCTCCCCTCCCCTCGGACCCCACTTCAGATGGGATATACTGGTTAGTTTAGTTTGGGTTTATGTCCAACTTAGTTCGGTTGTCCAACCACCGTAAGGTTCTCTGTGCTGAAGTCATCTCACCCAAGCATTGTCCTTTGCAAGTTAAAGAAAAACCCTATCGACCTAATAAAAGGCTCTCTAGAATGGTGGTTCGGAAACACGGTTATGATCTGTTTCTGATTGTCCTCTACTTGTACCACGTCTTAGACTGTACATATCCGTTGCTCTTGTAGGTCATTTTAATATATTTGTTTTGATTCTTGATTTAATAATTTTGTTATAAAATGTTTTAAAATAAAAAATAATATAAAATTGTCATAAAGTACAAATAATTAAAAAAATACATAAAAATTAGATCATGAAAAAAATATAGAAAATTAAAAGTATGAAACAAATTCTCCGTGAAGGTCCGGCTATCCGGTTATGTATATAGACACACTTCATAATCTTGAAATTTCATTATAGATTTCCCTCTCTCTAATAGCTGAAACCCATTTTCTTCAAAAAATCATTATAAGCAACCCATCAAGATTATACATTCTTCATAATCTTGAAATTCGATGATAAGTTTTTTTCTAAAAGCCTGTTTTCTTGAAAAATCATTGTTAAGAAACAATCAAGAAAAAAAGGATTATACATCCTTCATAATCTTGAAATTCAATCATTAAGTTTTCCCGGAAAACCCATTTTCATATGGTTCTGGTTATTGCCCTAGTTCTGATAACTCCACTGATTCTTCAGTGTTGGAAACAACATGCCCTTGACGTTAATAGCGCCGGAGATGACGACATTAGTCCCACCAAAAAGGAGATTATGCTATTGAAAGATATTTGTGACTTCAAGAAGAGTATCGGGGAATACCCATTCAGTGATTCTAGTCACATGCGTAGGTTTTATAAGGACATGATTGAAGAACGTGGGGTTTATTCTAACGAAGTTATTTTGTCTAAAAAATCTTTGGCATGTGGTATTGATCCCGCCGGAAATTTTGTTAGGCAAAATATCTTTGTTGGGATAAAACCCACATTCTTCAAGCACATCCTTACAAAACCTACGCATATGGTTATTATCTTTGAATAGGTATTCCCAATACTTTTCTTGAAGTCACAAATGTCTTTCAATAGCATAATCTCTTCTTTGGCAGGATTAATTTTGTCATCTCTGGCGCTATTAACGTCGGGGGTAGGGTTGTTTCAACATTGAAGAATCTGTAGAATCATCCAAACCAGCATGATAAGCAGAACGAAAACTAGATTGACTGGAATCCATTGATTTTTCATGAAAATGGGTTTTCAGGGGATACTTAGTAATCGAATTTCAAGATTATGAAGAATGTATAATCTTGATGTGTTTCTTACTTTCTTAGCAATGATTTTTCAATAAAAAGGGTTTCTGCTACAAGAGAAAGGGAAACTTATAATCGAATTTCAAGATTATGAAGCTTTCACAAGCATAAAAAAATTTCAGTAATACAGCCATGATCCTTCACCTGGTGAACTGCAAGGTCTTGCATTCTTCATAAATTCTCTGTATTGGGAGCTAGAAGTGCTTTCAACGATTTGTGTTCATGTTTGTGCGACACCTGGTTCGATATTTCTTGCTGCTGTTTGAAGTGCTCAAATCATGCTGCATTTTGGTTTATTATCGTCATGGTACAAATTCTTGTTACCTCTTCACAGTCTTTAAGGGATGACTTAAGAATTATTTCGTTAGATGAAATTATGCTTTTTTTCTTTAAAGTTCTTGGCTTCTATTTATAAGTTGAAAACTACCCGTTAGATGAAATGATGCTTTTTTTCTTTAGAGTTCTTGGCTTCTACTTATGAGTTGAAAACTACCTACTATTATACTATTTATGACTACAACGATTTGCCTTCTGTAAGTATTAGTGTGATTTTTTTTACATTATATGATTGGTTGCAGATGCTTGATCGTTCTGAGGACGAGAGGTTATGTGTGTTTCTGCTAGAGAAGGCATTAAGTAGACTCCCGGATGGGAAAGAAGAAATACTTGGTGTATTTGATCTTCGTGAGTTCGGTGTGAAGAATGCAGATCTTAAATTCTTGACATTCTTGGTAAGTTATGAACGATCTTCTTATTGTCTTTGGATTCTGCCATTAGTTTACCTTTGGTATATAAGCAGATGAGTAGAATGGCTGGCATTTAAATTTTAAATATTGCAAGCTAATCCTTTTCTTTGACATTGACAGTTTGATGTGTTATATTACTATTACCCAAAGCGGCTGGGGCAAGTTCTATTCGTTGATGCTCCTTTCGTATTTCAGCCAATTTGGCAGCTCGCCAAGCCCTTAATAAAGTCATATGCTTCTCTGGTATACTTTTTCTACTTTGTTTTTGTTCTTTTCCATACAATTTAATCACCGATCAGCCTTGACACTTGAGCATGTTTAGTAACCATAAGCTAGCTTAGTTTTTGAGCTTATTGAAAAAGCCCCATTTGGTTAGTCATAAGCTAGTTTTTTAAAAAACTACTTCGACTAACATTTCAATAAGCTCCTGGGTCTTTTTTCTCACAGTTTTTTTTTCTTTCTAATTATGCCCTTATTTTTTACCAATTAATTTTTCAACATGCTTTTGTTAGGTCATTTTACATTTTCATCTAACTTATCGGCTATTTATTTGTCGAACATGACAAATTTCTCGGCTAATAGCTAGTTTAGAGCTCTCCAAAATGGAGAAAGTAGGAGAGAGAGAGGGGGTGAAATTCTCAAAATTTGGAGAACTCCCAAATTTTTTTACTATGCGAGAGAGACATTGTTTATTGTATTCCCATCAATAGGAAACCTTGGAATTAAATGTTTAGGAGAGAGAAATAATATTTTATTAAATGTACGAAATATTTTAATCAATGTTGTATGTATTTTCCACAATGGTGAAGCTGTTAGAGTTGAATGTAAGTTTTTCCGGAGATTCTGAAATTTGATTCTTCATTTTGGGAAGGAAATCTGTTGGAGATCCTTTTATTAATCTACAGCTAGTTTGTCAAACATAGCCTTGATTTCTCACCATCACTACCACCTTCATTCTTTGTGTTTCATGCATCTAAACTTTTTGAAGGTAAAGTTTTGCTCGGTGGAGGATGTGAGAAAGGAGTATTTTACAGAATCGACAGTTCCAGCAAGCTTTAGGCGTTGACAACAACGCTATTCCAACACCTCGACATATAGAAATATCATTCCAGGTTCCAAAATGCTTCGCGTTCTTGTGTTGTTTACATCTATTTCAAGATCAGCAGCCCGCCCTTACTTATTCTTCTTGCTTTGTTTACGGCTATATTCGCAAGCTCATCACCCCCTCCCCCCACAAACACCCCACCACCACAAAAAGCCAAAAACAGTATGCTCTGAGCAAATTAAAAGGATGCAGCTCAATTTGATTGCCCTAACACATAAAACACACACACACACACACACACACCATTTTCATGTTCTTCTTTCTAATAGAGTTCCACATGAACAGTGAAATTTGTACTAACCAATATGTTAATTTTATCATATGAGTCTATGATAATGTTTGTTCCACTGATTCTTGCCTATATTTGTGAATCTACCAAACCAACCAACCAACCCACCCAACGAACGCATATATTCCTCCCAGAGGTGGGGCTTGGGGTAAGATATGTGAAAACCTGACTTCTATCCTAAAGAATAAAACGACTGTTTCTGTGAAGACCTTCGGCTAGTGAGAAGTGTGAAAAAAAAGGAGAAAAACAGAGTTAAAAACATTGAAATGTGATATGAATAAGCAATAGCAATATTTGTGAATCTACCCTTAAACATCAAAGGAACTTTAGTAGGGTATTATTATGCATGCATCTTTACCAAGAAAATGATGACATTTTAGGGCGTATTCGATGCTTAAAACCCATCATAACGAATTTGTACAGTTTATAACTTTATATGCATCTATTGACCCCCAAAACTCTCTTCTTTAAAGTTGGAGTTGTATGTGGTGGAGCCTAATTGAGGAGGTTAGGGTTCAAACCTCACCAAGTGTGAAAAGGATGTGAGTTCATTTGACGTGTATAAATATTATATACTTCAAAAATGATTGCAGAAAGATGTTCTCTTGTTAAAGAATGAGTTGTCCAATTTACCAAAATGAAGCTAAAATGGATGAGGTAGATGAGAAGAGAAATGGGAGAACTAAAGATGGGAAAAATACTAGCTATAACCAACTATTTCCAAGGGTAGGATGGCTAGAACCAAAGCTATTCTCAAACTCCTATTTCTTCTTCCTGTCCTGCCAATCAATCATTGACACATCATCACTTTATTTAATATACATTTTATATGGGTAAAAAGTTGATTACTGGCAAGTACAACTCGTCCCACATAGAATCCGCTTCCAAGGACACTAATGTGAAGGGTATTTTTGGGCTCACTCTGCGGCTGAAGCTAGTGGGGTCTTGGAATCCAACATGGGACCTGTCTTGTATTTGGGCAAAGTTGCCCTGCCCCGTCCCTTTGCCAACAGAATTACACGCCCAAAGCTAATATACATTCATTTAACTCATTTTTATTCTCATTTCAATAAAGTAAATAATGTGTTAGGAGTTGATTGCCAACTGTACAGAGAGTTTGAGTGACTAATAACTAGGGTTAATTGTTTTCAATAATCAGAACTAGGGACCGGCCATGATGGCAAAAAAGGACCAAAAATTGTAAACCAGAAATACTTATACAACAAAATGCAGGACAGATAAAAAAGATGCAGGGTCATTTGTCTGCTTGGCTAGTTAAACATCCATGAGCAATGACAATTGTCCTATGACTTGCTTTTGCTATGCGGTCTCATTGATATTATTTCAACTATTCCATTTTTGGATACTGCTATTTCATGTGTAGGAAAAATTTATCATTTTGTATTAATTGCATATTTGTTTTGAATAATTTTCATGGTAGTACGATTGTGGCAGTTAGTCAGGACAATGTGAGGGAATCATATTTTTTTTCTTGAGTTATATATATATATATATACTTTTATGCAATTACGGTTGGTAAGTAGCTTGGAGTGTTCATATTGCATTGCATCGTTACAAACCTTCGTTACAACTGCAATAAAGGTTATGAGAGTGTGCTACTTCGAACCCATCCTCCCCAAATCACCAAGATAATTTCAACTAGCTCCCTTTAGTTTTACTTGTGAACGAAAAGCACAAAATCATGGAAAACATTTTCTTTCACTGTCGTTTGGTTCTATCTATTTTGTTAACTAATTAACTGGCTCAATACTATGACTCTTAACTGTTTATCTATCTCTCTCGACTTTGTGGAGGGGGCTTATTGAACCCAACTCTTTGAATCTCTAATTAAGACGATTCCGTGAGTATTTCTTGCTAACCAACTAACAAATGAACGAGTCACTCTTTACCATTTTCAAATATCTAGCCTCGTCTCGTCCTTGTAATGAATTTTTCTTTGGTTGCTTCATTCTTCTTGCTAAATTAGAAATGATCGATCCTTGTAACACAGTTAACACGAAGGCGATTGTCCAGTCTTTTTGTTATAACATTGTAAAGACAACTAGTTTAAACAGTCAGTGAGGTATGTTACTGAATATTGCTTATAAGCAATGTGTATCTAGGACCAGTACTTCAACAAAGAATCCTATTCCTATATATTTATTGGTTGTATACCGTGTTGGTTTTTCTGACTTCCTAGAAATATCCCGTCTACTGATTCAAACAAAATGGGATAATTAACGTGTTCATTAATTTTCTTTTGAAATAAAAGTCAACTTTTTGTTGATCGGTTAAAGCAAAAAAGCAAAATCTTTATCGAAAATAACTTTTGTTTTTTAAAAACATATCATAATAGTTAACTCAGCTGTTTTAATGGAATTTTTTTCGTTTAGATTCAATCAAATCTCCAAAGAGATTTTAATTCGTAAAATTGAATTCAATTTTTGGTTGCCCGATTGGATTGAGGTTGCGGCCTATGGTAATGTATTTAAACTTTTATAGAAGTTTATAATTTTCTATAACGATAAATATGACGTATATAAGATTTCATTTTTGGTTCGATTTTATTCGGATCATGAATATGCCAAAACCAAAAATTTGGTTCGGTTTTATTTTGATTAAGAAACTTGAAAAGGAAAACAAAATCAAAATTCGGGTTTGTTGTTTCTTGGATCCAAACTGAAAATTAGCACTCCGTTTGAAATGGTATGACAATGAATTACAATTACTAAAAAGGACATGGTAGGTATCGTTAACGTTTGAGATCTTTTTAACGAAAGAAATAAACAGAAGGAAGAGAGATGAGGGGAAAAAGCTCGTGTTTTCAGGGTTTTTTTTTTATAAGAGAGAGAAAAAAATACAAGCAAAACTAACGATGGCTTTTCATCCACGACTTTATTCCAAACGTGACAAGAAATGAAAGGAAATAACAGATAATTGTTAAAAAAATTATAATAGAGCAAAGATGTAATTACCATTTCCAAAAGATGACGAGTCGTATGGAAACAATAGTAAAAGATAACTTGATTTCCTTCTTTTAACTAATTATTATTATACTTTATATTATGATCACAATGACGATATTTTCTAGATTCGTTGATTAACATGTCATTTTTAGTAATGTGGTTGGATTGCGTCGTTCCACTGTGTTTTCAAATACGATGATATAATTGTTACAACAGATAAATTTTTTGAAACTGATTATTTGCGATGCAACATGAACTTGTCAAAATGCAATCTTTTCAAACCGTTGTATACTTCTCCAGCTCGAAATACCTCACACAAAAACACAGTTGCGAACAATATATACTATCTCCCTCTGATCCACATAATGTATTATAACACATTTGTATAAGGTGATCGTCACTAAAACTTGCCTTAGTTTTGCATGAGCATGCAGTAAAATTAGTTTTGGGATGATGTACTTGTGTAAATACACGAAACTTCAAGTCCAACAGTCGCAAAAAACCCGACCAACCCGATCAACCCAACCCAACCCAACCCAACGCGAAATAACTCAACCCGAAGCAACCCGATGTCTAATCGAGTTGTAAAATTTTCAAACCGTAGGTATTGGGTTGATATTGGGTTGCTATTATTTGAACTCAACCCAACCTGATGAACCCGATATTCTTTTATTTCTTGGATTTAATATAATTGTTGAATTTTTATTAATATACAGATTAGACAATTACATTATCATGTATGTTTTTCATATACACATATTTTCAATCTATTCATATCTTTATATAACTCATTCATATATATGTTCAGTAACTGTGAACATATATATGTAAATTGAGAAAATTAACTGAATGTGATATACGTAAGAAATATGGATAAGTTGTATTAAATGGTTGATGATGAAAAAGAAATTATGAGTAGAGAAATAACATATTTAAGGTTAGAAGAATATTTTAATATACCAAAGTATCAACCTGACCAACCCGACCAACCCGTACGAGTTGGGTTGCACTTTGGTTTGGGTTTGGTTATGATTTTTCCAAACCGAAAGCATTGGGTTGGGTTGTTCAAATGTCTTCAACCCGATCAACCCAACCCATGAACACCCCTAGTTGCAATATGTGAGTTACTAGAGGTGTTAATTTTGTATCAAGACAAATCAACTAATTTCTATACCAATCGTATCAATTCAGTTGGTATCAATCCAATTGGTTGATAGTACCGTACCAACTATCTTAACATGGCCAATACGTGGTATTAAAAGTCGTATACCACTGTAACACTGTACCTACTAACTTATTATTTTACTTATTTATTAATTAAAGTTTAATCAATAATACAATAAAAAATTGATTTTAAATTTTGCTAAATTATATTATTGATGAATATACAAAACTCAGTTGAATTCATTTGCCTAACCCTTTCAATCGTAGTACCTCATCTACACCTCCATGATCCATTGTCGCTCCTAAAGAATGCTGGTATTATATGAAAGTTATTTGATTGTTTGTATATGTACAAATAAGTGGTACAACACATATCCATATGATGCGACAAGTTTACTCAAAAGGTGTTTATTAAGTAATTTGATTATTTTGATGCGATAAATGAGGTTCATTAAAGCAAAATGATGTATATTTGTTATTTTACAAATATGATTTCATAAATATGATCTGGTGATTATTCACCCTGTAATTGCATCACATGGATTTCTCATTGACCTCAAGGTCTACCCTCATTTCGTGTTTCAAAAATGTCCATTACAGGTCGGGCACAACGAGAGGATAAGAGGAAAGGGAAATTGTGAAGTGTTATATATGCTTGCATGGGTTATTGGGCTATCATATTATCCTTTTGTATCTGAATACTTGTTAGATATTCATGTGTGGTATAGAGATTTTCTAGAAAAAATTGTTAGCTATTTTGTAATATAGCTCTTGTAAGATATTGAGACCGAATGTGTAAATTATATTTCTTCATATATGAAATATGTTCATATGCAAATGTGATCTTAGAGTGTTACATTTTGGGTGATCATAAAGCCGACTATGCAAATCAAATTCACAAAGAATCCTTAAAATACCTTTAATTTAAATTCGTTTGGTGATTTCACATATCTATACTATATTATAAAACATTTAACAAAAACTCTTAAAACCTATTTTTTATGCATAAAGTACTGTTTATTAGTGCATGTTACTTAAAACTCAAGATTACAAGTAGATTATGCATAAATACAATTTATTAAAGCTTCATTTCTGAATTCATGTAACTAACTGTAGATAAACATAATCAAAATAAGATAAACATCTCATTTTAAATATAAAAAATCTAAAATATAATTATGATAATTATTGAGTTCTAACAGAATACTTAATTATTATATTTATAAAATGTTATATTATTAAACCAAAAATAGATTATTTCATTATTAAACTTAAATTAAATTATAATAAAAAAAAATGAGAACTTTTAAATAATTGACTTGATATTAACATTAATATATATATTTTATTCAAAAATAAAATTCATTATTGTTTTCTTAAAAACACATAAAATCGTATTATAACATCGACAGAGATAAATAGTAAAATAGAACATTAAAGTCGAGACGTGTCTCGCTGCATTGCACAAATACGCTTTTAGTTGTTAATTAATTAGTGATGATGATAATAAATAATAATACTTAGTTAGATGTTGTTTGAATGTGATCTATCTCAGATATGAAATTAAACCTAACAACTTCACATCTCCACAACTTGACTTTGTAGTCTCACATGACCTATGTGCAAGGATTAAATTTAACTCTATGATTTTTATGACTTTAAAAGCTACCCAAAGGTTAATTAATTAACTAATATTAAGGTTCTAAATGACGTGAGATGTGACGTGATGACAATATCAAGCTTCAAGCATTACGAGTTACGATGAGGCCATGCGTTTTCCAAAGTGTGGCTTAAGATGACAAGTTCATATATAATATATATATATATATGTACCTATGTGTGTGTGTGTTTATGCCAGGATCTTGAACAATAATGATGAAGTTATTAACAATTTAAATTCATATAAAACGATAAACAAAAGAAGAACCATGAATTGATAAATTGATATTTACAGAATTTACAACAATGATATGAAATATACAGAGTAAGTCGCTGTTTATAGTCCATGTTTGGTAATCAAACAACAAAAATCATAGTAATGAAATCAAATTAGGGTTTTTTTTCCCCTCATTTATTGATTCAATATTTGGTCTATAAAAACTATAAAGTTATATTTACATTTGCTCTTATTCAAGTTTTGAAAATTGCATATTTCCTTCTACGTCATAACACGCGACGATCGATGAGCCAAGACGCGCCATAACGAGCTCCACACCGTATGTCCACGCCAAGAGGTTAACGTGACGACATGTACAAGGTTGTGCCTTAACGCCATGCCGATGCCAAGGCGCAAACATTGACTAATACAAAGTCATCGCAATAGTGATAGTATTTGGTTTTATTACAAATTATCCTATTTCTTAACTTTTGATTTCTAAGATATATTCATAATCCCTTATTTATTTTTATGATCTTTAAACTTATAGGTTATTAACATCATAATGAGGATAAGATATTATTATATTATATTATATTTAGATATTTTATTATNTTAAACTTAAATTAAATTATAATAAAAAATAAATTAAAGAAATTATATAAAAAATAAGAACTTTTAAATAGTTGATTTGATATTAATGTTGATATTTTTTTTTTCAAAATTTTATGATATCTTTAAATTTATATTTTATTCAAAAATAGAATCATTATTGTTTTCTTACAAACATATAAAATCGTATTATAACATCGACAGAGACAACTAATAAAATAGAATATTAAAATCGAGATGTATCTCGCTGCATTACGCGAGTACCCTTCTAGTTCTTTTTAACGATTTTGAGACTTTGAATCACTTGTCAGTTGCCACCCTAATAGAAAGCAGAACCACAACCCAATTGACAAATTTCTTGCAATTTTGTATTGACAAAAAATCTCGTATAAATGGAAAGCTCCTCCATGCTCATATACTTCATACTCGTCTGTTTGATGATACATTTCTATCAAAACCGCTTAATCGAGTTGTACCACAAATGTGGTCGCTTAATAACCGCACTCCGGGTGTTCGATAAAATGTCGCACAAGAACCTCTTTTCGTGATACTGAGTGTTAAGTGCTTATTGCAATACTAATTATATAGACGAAGCACATAAGTTGTTTGTTAAAATGCCTGAGAGAAGATGTCCTGGAACACTTTGATCACTGCTTTATTTCATGGTGGGTTGGAGCATAAAGCATTGAATTTGTATCACGACATGAACCCAAATTTAATTTAAAAGGTTAACCAATGCTATAATGGGTAAAATTTTGAAAGTACAATGCCCTAGTAAAAAATATTTTGAAAATACAATGCTGTAATAAAAAAAACTGAAAGTACAATGCTATAATAAAGAAATTTGTGAAAGTAGGTTGCTATTTTGCCCTTAACTTAATAATCTAGAAAACTAAGAAACCATAGGAGTTGTTTTTCAAACGCTTGTCAGTTAGAGTTATCGCTCTTACTTGCCTTACTGGGTAAGATTTTCGGTCATCGAGAGGACGTACTAAGATTGTTGGTAAATGATAAATGCTTCTTACCCGATAAACGCTAAGCGAATAAGAGTCACCACTGTCACTTACCAAGTAAAATTATCGGTTATTAAATTGTCTCTTACCATGAATGATTCACGATCATTATCATACTCATCCAGTAATATAAATAACTGAATAAACGGTTCTCATATAAATGTTTGATAAACAACCCCTGAATCTGTAGTTTACTAAAATTTAATAACAATAAAGAAAAATACACCTAAAATAGAAATTAATTTGGAAAAAGAAAACCATAAATTAAGTTCTCAATGTTTTCTTTGCACGCGCCCCTCTTTGGCGCGTGTATGGAATATGCGGTACCGGAGATAAATAGATGCTGATTAGTGCAGACATTAGAAGGAACACGATGTCGCCCGTGTGGCCCTAGCTGGAAAGCCACCACACTGTGATTCATCACGGGACAAAAATGGCGTTTTTGCTCTTCTTCTGTCACCGCCTTCACCTTCTTCTTCACTGACCATCATATTCTTTCTCTTTCAATCATCATCCTTATCTTCACCAATTACAGAGGGCACATATTTCCCTCTTCTTATCAACGTAAGTGGGTTGAAAAGTTTTGAATTTAGATTTCATTGGATTTGGAATAATCGATCACTCTTCGTTCTCTATTCTTTGTCCTTTCTTGGTTGATTTCTGTTTCTGTCGTTGAATCTTGGAAAAAAGGTAGGGGTTTAATTGGATTTTAGTTTTTTTTTGTTTGATTGGTTTAACTTATTGCATCTTTATGGGGAAAAGAAATCTGTAATTGAGTTATGACGCTTGGTGTTTTGTAAGGGGTGCTGTTAATCGTGAGAATTTGAGGATGAGAAATGGGATTTGGAGGTCTTGTTTTGTTTGTGAATGATACAAGCGGATGTGTTGTAGTAGCCCTAGGGTTTTGGAGGAATCATTAGTGGAAACTGAGGATAGACAAGTTGAAATGGACAGTCCTACAATATTAACAACCGCCCCCGGTTCAGCTACTAGTTTGAATGAGGATCATCCTCGGTTGAAGTTTTTGTGTAGCTTCAATGGTAGTATATTGCCTCGTCCACAAGATGGAAAACTTAGGTATGTAGGTGGAGAGACAAGGATTGTGAGTGTTCCGAGGGATATTGGTTTCGAAGAACTGATGGGGAAGATGAAGGAGTTGTTTGAAGGGGCGAGTGTTTTGAAATATCAACAGCCTGACGAGGATCTTGATGCTCTTGTTTCTGTTGTAAATGATGATGATGTGACAAATATGATGGAGGAGTATGAAAAGCTGGGTTCAGGAGATGGGTTTACTCGGCTTAGGATATTTTTATTCTCTAGCATCGAACAGGATGATTCGATTCATTTTGTAGACAGGGATGAACGGGATAATGAAAGGAGATATGTTGATGCTTTGAACAGTCATAATGACTCTCCTGATTTTGGAAAGCAGCAGATGGGTGATGTCCAAGGACTAGCTCCTGTGGATGACCTTCAGTTAATAGAACAGTACTACAATCAGTTAAATCTGGACGGTAATATTCATAACCACAGGAATTTTGAGACGCCCATGTCGCCAGTTAACTTGGGTCATGTAAGAATCCCTCACCAACAGTCTCTAAACCAAAGGTATAATGAGATGGAGTCCCCATGGAGTCCTGCATACTACTCTCCAAGGCATCATGGCAGTGACTTCCCAAATTCGCCTTCATCTTCTCGTTACCATACTCCTTATGGTGATCCAGCAGACAAATGTTTTGATAGAGTTCCTCCAGATGATTATTTCAGGCAGCAGCATGTCAGTCATCATCCCCAGTATGATCAGCAATCTTTGTTACCAGAGAATGTTGTATGGTTACCACCAACACCTATCTCAGGTGAGAAGGCTGGTTTTCCTGGTAACATACTACACGGTTCCAGCATGTTTGAAGGGAACAATGTCAGTGAGCACCATTGTTCTCCTCTTCTAAGAAATGAAGCTCCAGACTTGAACAACATAGGGAATGGTTTTCATGAGGTTGCTAATCCTTCTGCTGAATGCCCTCCTGGTAGGGAAACTTATATGTCAAACGTAGAAACGAAATTTCCTCATTCATTCTATGGCAGAGAGCAGAATGATCCTCGATCTCTCTATAATGAGGCTCACCCTCATGAAAGAGGATGGATGCTGCATCAGTCAAACCCACGGGTCGAGGAACCTAGATCACATAACCCAGGAGGTGGAAGATTTAGTGATCACTATGTTGTAGATGGCAATGGAATGAATATCACTCTTGGGAACACTGCATATCCAGATGGCAATCATGCGACCTCACATTACGTCCATCATGAGGACCGCCCACGCTATATTCGTCAACGGCCTGAGTTCTGCAATGAGATCTTTCATGATCAAGCAATGGCTACCGGTTCTCATGTCCACACTCCACACGAGGAGCGTGGAGCTTGGCATGGAAATTTTCCTAATACGTATGGGGCTGAGAATCTTTACCATGCATCATCACATGGGCATGTGCCTGTAAATGCTTTCTGGAGAAACGGTCAAAGTCCAATGCATGGACATCCTTCTTATGAAGCATCAGGTGCACCACAACAAGAAAATGGTACATGTAACCTAGGTTATGTCAGGACTACAATGGAATCTATCCCCAGGCTTCCAGTCGGGGTGGAGAATCCGAATCCTTTAGTTGATTCCTCTCCTAAAGTGACAGGATATGATGGGGGTGTTCCTGATAATTCTTATGGCCATGCTTTAAAAGTGACGCCAAATGCTTCCAATCTAGAGTATCAGCATCACATACCAACTGAACCCATCCAATTGACGCCTGCACCTGTGCAATTGACGCCTGAACCCGTGCAATTGATGCCTGAACCCGTGCAATTGATGCCTGAACCAATGCAATTGACGCCTGAACCCGTGCAATTAACGCCTGCATCCATGCAATTAACGCCACCTGTGCAACTTACTCCTGACCCCGTCCGATTTACTCTTGAACCCATCCAATTTACTTCTGATTTGCCAAGCTGCCCAATTCCTATAAATAAAGTGACAAGGTCTGATCCACCGCCAACTTTGGTTGATGATTTACTGCTTTCTGTGAACACGTTGAATACAGAAGCAAACAATAATTCCAGTAATAAAAAATCTGTCTGTAAGTTGGAGAGGGATGGTTTTGGAAGGGAAAAGTTGAATCGTGATGTAAATGTTGAGAAATCAGCCAAGTTGTCTGTCTCAGGCAGAGAACAGAAGAATAACCCAATTTCCATGGTGGCCCATGGGTTTAATAGATCAAATTGCTTACCTGCCAAGCAAATTATTGGAGCTGAAAACTCTCATGAAAACAATGGTCCTGCTCTTAGAAAAGAAGAACTTGGGGAGCCTTTTGAGTCTGTAAAGAAAGCAGAATTAGAAGGTACTGAAGAGGTGAAAGCTGAAGCTGAAGAAGATGCTGCTTCTGCTGTTGTGAATGATGTTAAGGTCAAAGAAGAAACTGTGCAGGAATCAGACGCTGTGGTGAGTAAAGGGTACTAGTTATAGGATTCGTACATGAATTACTTTTTCTCATCAATCTACTTCTTTGTTTTATAGGATGCACCTGCAGATTTGGAGTTGGATTCTGACAGTGACACCCAAACCATTACAAAGATCGAACCGACAAAGGCTGAGGAAGAAGCCATTGCTAGGGGCTTGCAGGTTCTTCTCCGCTCTTATTTATATTTGATATGCTACAAGGGAATGAGTTATATTTCATGTGTGTAACTTCTGGACTTGGGTACTATGCATGACCATTTAGTTTGTATTTACGTTCTTCATTAGACTATAAAGAACGATGATTTGGAGGAAATACGGGAGTTAGGATCTGGTACTTATGGAGCTGTCTATCATGGGAAATGGAAGGGTTCAGATGTAGCAATCAAAAGAATTAAAGCCAGTTGTTTTGCTGGGAGGCCATCTGAAAGAGAACGTTTGGTATGATTGCGTTAATGCTCTTTCCTTCAGTCATAATAGTATATATATTGTTAACTAGTTGATATCTTCTATATAAGTTCTATATTGAAGGTTTGTGTTAATTTTATCGATTACTTTTAGCAGTTTGTAATTGTAACTTAGTGAACTGATGGGAATTACTGCTCCTAATGAATAACCTAAATAGACAGGTCTTCTAGCATATGACAACTAAAAATGACGTTAGTTAGTTAAATGACGTAATGATGGGTATGGAAATAGGTAAAATGCAAAGATTTCCAACATGGAGATGTTGCAATTTCTATGTGGAAAGGGAGTATGTTTTACAACTTATTTGTCTTTATTCCTTTCAATTTTTTTTTGTTTCCCATCAAAGCAGCAGTCTTTAATGCTAGTTTTATCCAGTTACATTTTACAATAATTAAGATGGATTACTATGATTTTTGTATGGTCTGATATGATTCGAATGCCCAATGAATCTAAAGAGACTTTCCAAAAAGAAAGATTAATTAGAAGAGACTTCTTTCGTCATTATGTTCCAATTGGTGAGAGGGTACAATTAGATTTAGCCCCAATAATAGATTTGGTTTTTGATTTGAAGCATAGTGTAGAACCAGTATGTATTATTTTGGAGCTGAATTCCTAATAACTGCAACACATATTCAAGAACCAAGTAAAATCTAATGATTTGTTGATGGGGGTGATTCTAAAGTAAAAACAGTAGTAATTAGAAGCAACTTCTCTCTCCAAGATGATATTCAGTTTGCACAAGTGACTTGGTCAATTGCATAGACTATCTAAATTATGCATTACTAGAAGAGGTAATGACATTCAAAATAGGAAAAACAACACATGTATGTTTCGTATACGGTCATATGTAATCATGGACAAATGTGTGTAATTTATTTATTATAAGGCCATATGCATGTTTCCTTTAAGCCTAGGTCCTTCTACTCTCATTAATCAACCCTCTATCATCAATGAATGACATACATAATTGTTTTTTAATTTTCTATATCTACTCCAACAATCGATGCTATATCATCAATGAACTATGCACACCGTTGTTTATCATATGTTGTTTGTGAGCTCATCTAAACTAAAGCAAAAGCTCAAGACAGCAAAAACATGTGTCTCCTTGTTGCATGCTTTCATGGATGTTACCGTGAGATCATCATAACTTTAATTATATTAACATTTTACACACGCTGTAGGTATTTATTCTCAAGAGCACACATCTCCTTTCTTGGCTTTCTATCATTTCATGATCAATAGAAACCGCTTGTGAATATGTGTTGATCTCCCAACCCAAAACCAAATTAGTTTTCCAGAACATCAGTCCTAACTCTTAAATCCCTTGGTAATTCAAGCAATTCATAGTATCTCGTCTTTTCTTCTGTATTGGCATTTAGGCACACTTTCTAAATTTGTCACACGTCCTATGACATTAAATACTCTGGTGAGTCATGCTCTGCTTACAGTTCCAACATCTAAAAAAATATTATCAGCTCCTTGCACTTTGCTTATCTTCTTTTATCTTTGTGCTTCCTTCCAGCACTTTGATTCTATCTACAAATCTTCTATCTGCAAGAATCGCAGGTTTCCCTGCACCCCACAATTCTTCTACCATACAACTTATCAAAATAATCCCAACCTCATCATGTTTAACTAAAAAGTCTTTGATTGCAATCCTTGATTTTCTTAAGTGACTTGTATCTGTAATTTTTCTCTCTTATCTTAGCCAACTTGTTGGCATCATTCTCACTCTTTGTTGTCTGCAAGTTTTGTTTTAGCTCTTTCATATGCTTTATCTCTAGCTTCTGTCATTGCTTTCTTGTTGGCTAGTTTATACTACTTATCTATGTTCTTTGCACTCTTGCAAACATGCAAGAGTTTGTAGCATTTTTTTCTCCTAGATAGCCTTTGCACTTGCTCATTAAATCATCAAGTGTAGATTCACTTACTATTTTCTCCAACAACATTCTAGTCTCATATTAAGTAGATGTAACACCTGATTCCCTTGTGTTGCATTTTTGGGACTTGTTACAAAAACATATTTGAATGCATGTTGTCATCTCGTTCAACATGCTATTCCCCTTTGATATCCCAAGGCCCTTACTTGACCATTTGATCATTGAACATTTATGCTTTATCTCCTTTTAGGTCCCATCTACTGGTTCTAGGATGCTTAACATCCCTATTCCCTACTCCACCGAATGTCGTGTCTAATCCAGTTGTTTTCTGCTACAAGCCTAAGTTGTCTCACTGCACACTCTGGGGGTATGACATTACAGTTTATGCATTTCATTCGTACCTATTCCTGGTATGTGCAAAGTCTATCTAGCTAGAGTTCTGGTTGCTGCTAAAGGTCATTAGGTGAGAGTTGGTTTTCCTAAAAGGTGTTTGCAACTAACAAATTAATTACCACAAAATTTAAGATTTCTTCTCCCACCAAAGTTCCCATGAAATTCTTCCAAAACACATCTACATGACCGTAAAACCCCTTCCCTTAATTTATTGAGTTGCTAGGTATTTTCCAATGACTTCTTCTAGGGCTTACCGGGAACAGTCTTTTCGTAGATCCACCCAAGCCATGTTCACTAAACACTAATGACATTCATACCCCCATGCTGAAATTGATAGTTCTGTAATGTGATTCTATGTCCTTGTCTTTTGATCTTAACTACGTGTTTTAAGCTCATGTGTTTCATGGTACCCACCCATTCCTCGTCCCATCTTTTCCTGCATGCCATCACTTAAAAACCTGTTTTCTCTATTTTCTTCATTAAGTGATCCCTTTTAGTTTCCTAAATGCATCCAATATTTTACTTTCCTTTTACTTTGCATATCACTTAACTATCCCTGTTTCTATTGATGATCCTATGTTCCAACTCCCAGCTGTTGTGTACTCTCTTTGACTAGCTTCTTTACCCCCTGGAACTATCCATTGAGTGCAAAGCTCTTTGATTATTTTCACTGAGGCGTCAGTCACTAAGGGAATGACAACTCTGCCCTTGCTCATTTCTTGCTACACACCTACAAAGCTGTGCTTCATTAATAGGGTAATTTCCTGAGACATTTTTTTTCCCATTTTCATGGATATAGCTAGATGTAGTGCCTTGGGTAGCATGGCCTCATGTATGACCTTCTTAATCCTGATTTTCCAAATCAGAAATATCAACACTGTTAGCTTAGCTAATTTGGGGGTTTTTGTAGTTTCTAGTTATCAAATTTATCAAAATCACTTGCCATATATGGCATATTTAAAATACTTTATGTTTGTCTTAAAGTAAGTGTCCAGTTTAAAAAATAGATAACTAAATTTCCAAATATACCCTTAATTAATGCACAAATAATTAAGAGTTGATAAGATAACTAAATTAAATAAGGGTAAAGTAGTCATTTCGCTACATACAAACAATAGACAATGGCTTTACTATACAAGGTGTATGTGTGTCATTGTGACTGTTTAATGCAACGTCTGTAATAGCAAAACGAGGTTCACAGGCACTAGTATATACCTGGTTGAATGCGCTTGCAGAAGATTGCGTTGGATATTCTTAATGCCTCTGTTGTTGAGTTTGATAAAGTTTATGTCCTATGGTGTCGATTCTAGGAGCCCCTATATCAAAAAGTTGTCTTGAAAATGGTGTTTTCTTCATTGTTCTGCAGTGGTAGATCTGCTCTATTAGGACCTCCTGTTTATCAATTTTCCATCTATTTGTATGCAGATTGCAGATTTTTGGAAGGAGGCGCTGATTTTAAGTTCATTGCACCACCCAAATGTCGTCTCTTTCTATGGTATAGTTCGTGATGGACCAGATGGCTCTTTGGCAACTGTGACAGAGTTCATGGTTAACGGATCTCTGAAGCAGTTCTTACAGAAAAAAGACAGGTAGCAATTTTTCCTGATGTGTCATGCATTGGCATGTTGTCATTATTTTTCCAAGATTCTTCCTATCAAGAAAGCGTGTTTTGCATAAGCTATTCATGAATCTTATTGTCTCTTATCTTTTTTTAAGAATCTCAAATATAACTGCCAAGATTTCCCTTTTTCTTTGACTAAGTTTCAATCTAGAATTACTCTTTCCACATATGTAATCATTAGATATCGATAGCATTGATTTTGCTCTACAAGATTCCTATATTTTTTCGTTGTTGAGGGGCCTTTTAGATTTTTACGTACTCCCGCCATCCCAAAAATGTCCACGATGAAAAAGGCACACAATTTTTGAAGTGTGTAATTATTGCACTTTTTAATCAACTAAATGACAATTTTATTCTTATTGGAGTAGTGAATTTTTCCATCTCATGATTAAGGGTAGAATTGGAAAGTAGGTACTTGTTTTGAAACTGGACATTTATTTTGGGACAAACTAAAAAAGGAATGTGAACACTTATTTTGGGAAGGGAGTAATAAACACTTTTATTAGACCATCTCTAATCATACATTGCATTTATTACGGGACTGATGGCATTAATTACTGTTGGTGACAGAACTATTGATCGCCGTAAGAGACTTATCATAGCTATGGATGCTTCTTTTGGAATGGAATATTTGCATGGAAAAAATATCGTGCATTTTGATCTAAAATGTGAAAATCTACTTGTGAATATGAGAGATCCACACCGACCAATTTGCAAGGTATGTTATGTACTAGTGTTCATTTCAATATGTTTTTTATTTTTTATTTTATGTTTCCTTCGAGGATTTTGTTGAGCTTTATGTATGTTTGTCTGTGTAATGTGAATCTTTCTAGATTGGGGATCTTGGCTTATCGAAGGTAAAACAACACACTTTGGTGTCTGGAGGTGTGCGAGGAACACTGCCCTGGATGGCACCTGAGCTGCTTAGTGGCAAAAGTCACATGGTAACGGAAAAGGTACAGCATGTTGTGTGAAATTAGTAAAACAACCCTCATTTCCCGTTGTTATTATCCTTAAAAATATCTAGTTATATAGTCATTTATTCATTTGTTTTTTTTTCCACCATCCAGATTGATGTCTACTCATTCGGGATTGTTATGTGGGAATTGCTTACTGGAGATGAACCTTATGGAGATATGCATTGTGCTTCCATAATTGGTATGTGCTTCATATTCATATCATTTTGTGGGCTTTCTGTTAATAAACATCAATGGGTAATGAAGAACTGAAGCACAGGAACAAAAGATGTGTGGTAATTGTGGAGAAGGGGATAAAGTGTAAATATAGGGAGGTCAAGTGTAAACAATGAAGAAGTCGTTACCCAAACACCTCTTAAATGACAATTGGTACATAGGGGGTGGTTCAAATGGGAAGAGGCTGAGGTTGGAAGCATGAAAACACAAAAAAAAACTAATGAAGAAAGAAGAAAAACGAGTGAAAAAGTATAACAATATGGATGTCAAATTAAAGAGAATAAAAATGCCCGCCTTCACGTTGTTTCCCTTTGAACCACCCTGTTGGTACATAGTATCCATAAACAAGTTTAGATAGTGAACTATGAGATACTTGTGATCCAAGTGATAGTTTATACTTTATAGAAAACAGATTGTTGATTTCATTCGTAATACTATGTTGGAAATTGAGTAAAGAAAAGATTTCATGTTATGAGTCGAATGGATATCATTATTTGAATATGATTTTTTCTGCAGGGGGAATCGTGAACAACTCATTACGTCCAACGATCCCAACATGGTGTGATCCTGAATGGAAGGCCTTAATGGGAAGGTGTTGGTCTGCCGATCCAGCAGAAAGACCATCCTTTTCAGAAATTTCTCAGAAGTTGAGAACTATGGCTGCAGCCATCAACGTAAAATGATATGGACAAGCCGTTTTGGACCATTACCATCACCACTCTTTATAGAGAGAATGCGGTATCCGAAACTACACAATTAGAAAATCAGGTATCAAAATCGTCGTCATCATGGGAATGGAAGAGACTCGACTTGAAAGTGGTTGCAGGCCTTTTGGATGGCTATCTTTGTGCTAATAACGTCATTGAAGCCAAAGGAATGCATATCTGTATATAGCAACTTGAAAGTCGCAAGTATTATTATTGTCTTTCGTTTTAGCAGGCAATAATATATATTTAGCATGCATCTCCTTGTAAAACATAGATGAATGATCATTTTTGATCTTTTAAACTGTACAAACAGACGCACGGTTTTTGTGCACCGAGGAAAAACCTGCATGAGAAATTGCATTTTACGTTTAAAGACGGGTAACGTCTTGCATGACCTGCAATTTATGCATAATTTTGGCTTAAGCGAACACGCTGCTAACACCCTCCGTAAAATCTATAACAAAACTATAGCAAAAAGACGAGCATTGTTCTTGTTTGAACTCGTCTTTGTATGCCCGTGCACACGCACATATTGGAAGTATACCTGTAGAACATCATCTCTCTCAGATTTTATTTTATAAATGTGTGATTTTTAAACAAGAATCTTTTGATGGTTATCGGTCGTATGGAGTATTTTGTCGTATTATTAGGGTCCAAAGCTTGTTAGTCTTTAGCAAGACCAACAGTCTTACTTTTTTTGAGGGTGGCTTGGCAATTTTTTTTTAAGGAAGGATGGTGCATCGCCTATTTCTCGTTTAAGGGCATGGAGATTGACCCAGCTCATCGACCTTCTAGTAAAGCTAAGCCCCCTCCTATTCGAGGCCGGGTGGCCTTACCTGGTGATTTCGTGTCAATTCGTGATTTGAAATTACTCCTGGCTGGGTGAGTTGTCCCATTGCGAATGAACCTCCGTGCTTCCAATCTGGTCATGCACTTCTTTAAGATGTGGGTTTTGCAAACAAACAAGTGTATTTTTCTTCTTATTTTATATTTTTGTCAAGTATTTTGAAGATTTTCTATTGTCCTAGGGATTTGTATTTCCCATTGTCCTTATGGATGAGGGAATCGAGTTGCGAAAGAGGAGGGAATCTAAAGGAAAGAAAGCACGATGAACAGGCTTGAGTGTCGATAGGCACCATTCATATTTGAACATGGATATCAGTTAATTTTTTAAAATTTAAACGTATTAATAAGTTATATATATACATATATATATATATATACATATATAATAATAATAATAATAATAATAATAATAATAATAATAATAATAGAGAAAAGTTCAAACGAGAACACTAACTATTTATGGAAACAAAAAGATGTCGTTAATGTACAAAATCACATGTAATTTTACATTAATGTCGAAAAAGCAAAAGCGGAAGCGGACGACTTTTAAACCTGTATGATTTTATACGTGAATATATATATATATATATGTGTGTGTGTGTGTGTGTGTGAATCACGTATGATTTTCAGATATATGTATATTTTGCATATATGTATATTGCGATGTTGACAATTTTGCAAGTCATCTTTGGATCGGTGAAGTGATCAATTTGCAGATGTGTGCGTAGCGTTAACAAGCTTTGTTCCTCACTCGCACCCGATTTGTTGTTTCTCTCACATATTTGGATTCGTATTCGATTTGGACTTCTAATTTTTTACGGGATCACCAATTTGTTGTTTTTCTTAAGATCCATGAGGATTTTGGTCACATTTCTGGGTTTCCAAGAAAAGACGATCTTAATTCAATTTCAATTAGAATTTGATTTCTAGTTTGTCAGAATTTGGGTTTTAACGGTTGGGAGTCACCGATCTAGGATGGAGGTGGTGATTACGGTGAGAGGCCACAGTGACCGGTGGTTCATGGCGTCGATGGGGATCATTGTAGAAAAAACGAGCATTTTTTCTTTCTAATTTGATATCTATATTGCTATGTTTTTTCATTTATTCTTTAATCGAGTATTAATTGTCTTGTATTTACGATGACACTGTACATGATTGTGCATATTATTAGATAACAATGCAGCTATCATGTATATAATTACATATGACATTATAACAAAATTGGATTTATAATATGTTAAAATTGTGTAAATTCTTGTTTGTTTTTTTATAAAAAAACTCTTTTTAGACTCTTATGTCTGATTCGTTAAAAGGTAAGACCATTCAGACCATTTGTTTTTTTTCAATTTTTCAGAAACACTTATATCTTATTGTCCTCTTATCTGGTAAGAGATAAATCAACCTTTTATTTGCCTCTTATTGTTCTTAAAACCCTCAACAACGATATTTCTCAATTGATTAACCTTAAGTGATCATTTCTCTCAATCAATCCTCACGTCTCTCATTTGATGTATTTTAATATGATTTAAATGTGTTAAATACGTTAATGACATATTTTTGTTTAAATGAATGCTAATTATATAATTTAGATGTAAATTTCGTAATGATGATGAATAAATATGTGAAATTGTATAAATTTTGTTTATAAATTCAACAATATAATTTTTTTAATGAGTAAAATAGACAATTTAAACAAATTCAGACGTTTATCAGTTTACAAAAACAAACAATCTTATTGATTCAAATTTCAGACGTTAACACCACCTCCTATAAATCAGAAGTGAAATAAAAACTTCAGACTTCAACACCTCTTAAACAAATGCCACCTAAGAGTTTCAATAGACTGTTCTATACGACATTAACGTTTTTAGAACCAAACGTTAAAATGTCCTATTTAAAGGTGTTGCAATAAGTTTAAATGACGCTTTTAGGGGTCTTAATAAGTTTTATAGGACACTTTTAAAATAATGCGTCGTATTAACTATTTCATGATTCCTCCAACAAGATATAATCATCTTTAAACACTCATTTGAGTAATAACATGAAACAAAATCTTTCTTTTTCTCAAGATAGTGTATATGAATCAATAGTCTATTTTCTATATATTTATCACTTCCAACACAAGATATGCAAAGTGTATATATTCATTAATGAATATATATATATATATGTATATATATATGTATATATATATGTATATATATGTATATATATATGTATATATATATATATATATGTATATATAGTGGCCTAATCAAATGAGAACTAATTAGTTTGTGGTAACTGTGAGAACCAATATTAACCACAAATCAATAGATAAATTAGGAAATTTATAATTTTGGCAATTTTGAATTAAAATTTTAATGCAAGGATATTTTTGGTATTTTACAACTTTCCTCCCTCCTCTCTTCTCTCTCCGGCCACCTTCCTCC